GGTTGCAGAAAGGCCCTGTGATCGTCATTGTGCTGAAAACAATGAAGCCGTTCGAATTTGAGACCCAAGAAGGAAAGCAAGAGATGTTTCATGCTACAGTGACTACTGAGTGTGAATTCTTTTCTGTGAAAGTTTTCAACAAAAAGCTGAAAGATAAATCCACTCCAAAGAAAATAATTATAACGTCAAAATATTATCGGCACACTCGTTGCCTGGAAGTGAATAGCGCCTCACTATGGTTGATGCTGGATCTGACCAATAGACCAGTGTCTCAAAGCATTTTATCAGAAAACCTGGGTGCACAGTGGTTAAGTTGACATGTTCTGCTTTGGTGGCCCGGGGTTCGCCAGTTTGGATCCTGGGCACAGACCTACTCACCACTCCTCAAGCCATGCTGAGTTGGCATTCCACATAGAAGAACTAGAAGGACCTACAATTAGGATATACAACTATGTACTGGGGCTCTGGGGAGAAAAAAAGAAAAAGGGGAAGATCGCCAGAAGATTTTAGCTCAGGAACAATCTTCCTCAAAAAAAAAATACATAAATAAATAAATAAAAATAAAAACTGGTGAAACCCCAAAGATCAATAGGCTTCCAACTCAGCCCCCTGGAACAATTGTGAATGGGCTGATTGTACTCCAGAAGGTAAGTTTCTATATACAATTTTATAGCGCAGAGCAAAAATAGCTTATTCACCACTATGAGCTTGAAGAGACTTTAGAAATTCATCATTTCAAAGTCTACTTATATGGAAAAAACTGAAACAAACCCCAAAAAACTAAAGAGCCACAGAGTGATTGTGGCAAAACTGAAATACATTAAAACTGTTTTTATTCTCATGAAGCAGTTACATTCCTACTTCAGTTTCCTTTTATCCTCGTAGTTTCTGAAAAAGAAATTCCCTCATACACAAGTAGTGTTTGCCCTCTGTGTTATTTTTGTATTTTATATATATGATCTTTATTTTAAGTGACTATTGTTGTGAATACAAAATTAACGTAGCTGAGTGATAAACCAGACTAACTGACCTGGAAGACCAATAACTAGGGCAAGATTAAGGAATTGTGACTAAAAGAAGAAAACAGAAGACAGAGTTACTATGAGGAAATTTATTAGAAGTGAGATATAGCACTTAAATTTTTTATTTAAAGTCAAACTGATAGACAAAAATTCTGTTTTTAAACCTTTAAGAGAAAATAATGTTGAAAGGCATGAAAAATGAATTCCATGTTTTCCTAAAGTGCAATTCTTTCAGTTTGAAATAATAAACATTATTTTCTAGAACAAAAAGTAAAAGAAGTGAGAAATAAAAGGTGTTTTGACTGTGAGCCTCGGGGGAACTAGCTTGCATGGCTACTTCTGGTCAAGGATAGGACTTGACGAACCACAGAGAGGGAACGTGCTGACCTTTCCTCCAGGAGCCTTAACAGAAGCACTCTGGTCTGGGGTTAGTTGCAGGGGAACTGATAAGGAGAATCTGTTCTCCTGGAAAATTCAAGCCCAAAACGACCTTGGATAAGAAGGGCATGTTCTTTACCCTAGTTACGAACCTTCAATCTGGACAACCATGCATAAATATATATTCATTTATCCCATTAAATTCAACCTAAAATACTATCAATCTTCTAGATAACTGATCAATACCCTGCTCCTTTTTGACTTGGACATGACTGTGAATCATTTCTTGTCCTTGATTGCTGTAGGGGAGGAATAGTTTTCCCTTCTTCCCTCCTAGGTTCTTTGCCTGGTCTAGTAATTAAATTGACATAAGGCAGATTAACATGAGAAAAACAAATTTAATTTTGTACCTATAGGAGTCCAATAAAAGGTATGAGACTCATAGATAGCCCAGCAATTGAGACTTATATACGGTCCTGAGCTAAGAAGACAGGGGTAGGGGCCCTGAGCTTCAAAGAGGAGGAAGACAATTCACAGAAGGCCAAGAGAGCAGATATTTGGTAAACAGATATTTACCCTGCCATGCAGATCAAGTTTTTCTTATATAAAAAGTTGTCTCTGGTAATTGCTCTCTTCCTGTCGCAGGCTCCCTGTCTAAATTCTTTCAGGCAGTTAAGGGAAAGGTAAAAAGCTTTTCCTGACTTGGCTGCGTCTTAATTGCTTTCAGCTCAAAACAATCCACATGTCTAAGTAGCACATGTTGGTGTAACTTATTCTTCTCCCCCTCATTCCTAACTCTTATTTAGACTCTTTACTGGATTTTGCATCATTTGTTCATGTCGCTTCTGGATTTGTTGCTTTAAGTCACTTTCTTCTGAAAGGGAGGAGGAAATTTCACCATTATCTCTCCTGACTTGCTGTAGCTGGACTAATAATAAAATGTAACACAAGACAGATTAACGGGAGAAAAACTAGTTTAATTTTGTGCACATGGGAGATCATAAAAATGATGCTCAGAGAGTGACCAAAAGGCAGGCACCTTTATATCATTTTACACAAAGAAACAGTAAGTTTGTGAGGATTTTACAGGACAAAGAAACCTAGGTTTGAATGCTTAACAAGTGAGGAATTTAAGTAGAGTTTGGATTTGGGGTAGCAAAGTAGTAAAAAGGTAACAAGGTTTATTTCTACAGGCTTCTCATCCTGGTGCAGGGAGGGTACCAAGAACAGGCCACATATATGCAATTTATTGATTTTCTACAGAAGTACAAGCACAATTCAATAAAGGATAATTTTTCAACAAATAGTATTGGAACAATTGGACACTCATTTTAATAAAATGATTAGCTTGATTGATACCTCACTCTCTGTACAAAAATTAACTCAAAATTGATCATTGACTTATATGTAAAACCTAAAACTATAAAACTTCTAGAAGAAAACAAAGAGAAAATCCCTGTGATGTTGGTTTAGGCAAAGATTTCTTAGATGTGACACAAAGAGCATAATCTACACAGAACAAATTTTTTGATAATTTAAACTTCATCAAAATGAAAATTTCTCTTCAAGAGATACCTCGAAGGCACCAAAAGGCAAGCCATAGATTGGAACTTAATGCTTGCTAGTCACACAGCTGCTAAAGATCTTGTATCCAGAATTTACAAAGAACTCTCAAAACTCAATAACATGAGAACAAACAACTGAATTTTAAAAATAGGTAAAAACAGGTACATGGGTGGCACACAAGCACGTAAAAAGATGCTCACCAAATTCATCCTTAGGGAAACGCAAATTAAAACTACAGTGAGATACCACTATCTACCAACTAGAATGGCTCAAACTTAAAAAGATTGACCATACCATGGGCTGACGAGGATGTAGAGGTTGAGAACTGCCATAAAATGCTGGCAGAAATGTCAAATGGCACCCCACTTTTCAAAAAGTTTGGCAGATATTTTTTTTTTAAGTTAAGACACTTACAATGCTAGATTCTGAGGAGGATGCAGAGCAACTGAAACTCTCACACATTGTTGGTGGGAATGAAAAATGTTACAGTTACTTTAGAAAACAATTTGGCAATTTCTTATAGATTTAAACATACACTTACTGTATGAACCATCAATCTCACTAAAAGTTTTTTGCCCATTGAAATGATAACGTGTGATCACACAAAAATCTGCAAGTGAATATTGATAGCAATTTTAATATGATTATGCAAAACTATCAACAACCCAATTGTTCCTCACTTGGGGAATGGATGAATAAATTTTGGTGGATCCATACAAGTAAATTTTACAGAGCAATATGAAGGAATAAACTGGTACACACCACTACGTGGATGAATCTTGAATGGACTATACTAAGTGAAAGAAGCTAGAGTCAAAATTCTATATACATTTTTAATTTCATTTTATGAATGTCTGGAAAAGACAAAAGTGTAAGTTGAGAGACTATATCAGTGGTTGCCAGGAGCTTGGAATTGGGGGAAGAGTTGACAAGTAGCATGAAGGAAATTCTTGTTATGATGAAACTGTCCTAAATCATTAGGAAAGTGATTTAGCCTCTCTGTTCGTGGTTTTTCTCATTAAGAGAATAAAAAGGAGAGCACTATCAACCCTCCAGAGCTAGTAAGAAGATTAAGTGACCCAAAATAATTGCAAAACAGCAGGTATCAAATATGTGATCATTAAATATATTGTCAATTTCAGTTTTAGATGTCTACTTTCTGCCATTGTACTCTAAAGTGAATTTATTATTCTTCAGTGTTTGCCTAATACAGGTCTGTACCTGGAGCAACTTCCTGATGAAATCCACATATATGAAATGTGAGACGAGCAAATATAGTTGGAGAGCTACAGAGCTATTGGTACTTGAGTAAGTGAGTGGAACCGGTTATTTCACATCAGACAGGTCTGGAATAGCTTCCAATATATGCTAGTGTCTTCCTGCAAATCGGCAGAAGCTACCTTATTTTGCAGACAAATTACCCAATTATGCCCCTTCCAGGAGACCAATTGTGAAAAGATATTGATTGTTTTGGGCTAAAGCAACCCCTCCTAGGACACGGGACTTGGCAATTGAATCACAGACTGGATTTCAGCCCCCGTCTAACCCCTCGCTGGGTTTCTTTGCCCAGAGCATAGCCTTTTCAGCAAGTCCATCCTTGACCAGAGTCTTATCCTGTAAAGATCACACCTAAAGTATAAATGCAAACATTCCTTGGGTCCTGTGTGCCCCATCCTGCTTTGCAGGCCACAGACTATTTGCTTTTAAGCAATTCACCAATAAATTAGACTCCTGGGGAAACACTGCATTAAAGAAATACATGATGTTTATAATTGTTTCAAATAATACAAATTACAGATGTAAAATGTGGCACTGAGATAGTACAGAAAAATATAAAAAAGAAAATGAAAAACACCTATTACACCCCATTGACAAGAATTAATACCTGGTAAATATATTGTTGTCTATCATATATATATGTGCACTGTATATATATATATATATATATATATATATATATATATTTGTACTTAAATCTTATCTTCATTAACATCACTATTAATGGCATTCACGTTTTAAGAAGGAGAAATATAGTGAGGTTTTCATATATGAATCAGGATTGAGTGGTTGTTTCCTTGATTTTCCTGGCCTTGATGACCTTGAAGAAGCAAGAGATAAAGATAGACCAGTTGAGATGCACCTGATCATACAATTCTCCCTTCACTCACACTGTATTTCTTTGCCACAGGCTGCATCCCTTTCTGTCTTCCTTTCTAAAAGGCTCTTCTCTCACTCTCACCTATCTCATTTAATGATGTCCTGCTTATTGAGTCACCACCCCCTCCTCTTGGTTGTGAACCGGAATGAGATATTCATTCACACCCAGCATGAGTACATGTGGACAGGCTGGAGGTGTGGGGAACAACAAGCGAGAGGAAGGAGCAGGTGTATTCAATGGCAAGTGTTGAGGGGAAAGTTCTCACTGAGAAGAAAAGTGGGGGAAATGTACAAGATGCATTGCTGGTGCACTGTTGTGAGGGAAGGGTTGGAATGTTTGGTTGATGGTCCTGAGAACTGTAAAGATCCAAGAGCAAGTGCATTTCTGAGCACCTGGATATGTCAGCTTTTGTATTTGATCTGTTTACATTTCAGTATTGGAATGTAGTGTCCTTTGGTAGTGTCCCAAGAATCTCACATAGATGTGTGTGTGTGTGTGAGCGTGTGTGTGAGTGTGAGTGTGTGTGTGAATGTGACAAGGAGTATAGACTTTGTCATGTAGAACCAACCACCTCTGTTTGTTGTTGACCAACAGCAACAAACACTAAAGGCAGGTATCTCACTAAAGGCAGATAACTTTGTGTTCTGAGATGCTCATGGGCATCCTTGATCATGTAATCTGGTAGGAGCTCTGCTAACCATCCTCTGAGAAGGGAGATATTTCCCCCATTTAATAGATGATGAACCTGAGATTCCTAGTGTTTAAGTTCATTAGCTAACTAGCAAATCACAGAGCCAGTATCTGAAACAAATCTGCCTTAATGAAGCCCAAATTTACTAAATGATCTCAATGTTTTGATATATTCAACCCATTCTATAATATTTAGATTAGTTATCATATCTTTTGAATGCCTCTCTGAAGTTTCTCTCTTCAATATGAAGAAAGATATCCTTCCTTATTAAAAAAAGAATGATTATATTTGAAAGATTATATATGAATATATATCAAATGAATGATTATATATGAAAGAAAGTTTATATTCAGAAGGTCAAGGATTGGCTCTTTTTCCCCCGATGGATTGTCTGTATAATAGCAGCAGTCTAGATTTTTTAAATTCTACTTTAGAAGAATGATGTTGCCCAGGAGTTCTCACCTTGATGAAACTGTGAATCACGGATCTCAGCTGCCTCTTACTCTCACCTAACGCCAATTCAAAGCAGATGAGTTGAAGTTTATCTCCTTCCTTGCAGTTGATTTTGGTCAGTCGTCCATACACCACGACTTCCATCTCCCCCGTATTATCTTGTATTTCATAATATATGAAATCATTCCACACTATTTTCTGCAAAAGAAAATTAGCATTGATCTTTTGAGAACTGGATCAGGTTTCCACATCTGTGAGAAATACAAGGCGTTAGTGGAAACTTTTGTCTTTGACTGGTTAATATGAGCTGTAAGTCCAGAATTACAGGTACCAAATAGCTTAAGATACCTCGTCCAGAAAATGCCCCCTTTTGAATCTTGTGTCTACCTTTCCTTCTTTTAGGTCTTTATTTGCCTGGTTCTTCTGAAAATAATTGATTACTTCCTAATTTTTCCTGCTTCCATCTCAGAATAGCTGATATTTCTTAAGGAACTTGAATACAGTCAGATATGATAACCTATACAGGTTTCTTTAGTGCCAGAGAACAGAGAAGAAAGCCCATTCATGCTTCATTATGAATGTGAGAAATATTGTTGCAAGTCTTCATTCAGTAGATTGCTATATCAATATGTAATTCTTTCTTCTATCTTCTGCATTTATTCATTCTTTTCCAGTCTGCCCAAATCTTGCATCTAAATTATCTAGTCCCCATGTTTCTAGTTTCTATATTATTTAATCTATACATTAATTCTATAAATGCATAGGTGTGCACAGCCATTTAAACAGAATGTGCAGAAAACAACAGGGATAAAAGTAAAGAGCCACCCTAGAAGACATATATAATGGAGTATGAAACATACTACATATAAAAATTTCCGTCAGCTAAGCTTAGATGTACTATGTTGTTTTAGACTGAAATAGCTACCCTAATTCTTAGAATTCACCAAGGTTCTGTTTTCATTGTCCATATTTATAAATTGAAGTTAAATTACATGATTGCTCTATTCTCTTCAACATCCATATTTCTTATTATTTAATGCCAAATTCAATTGCTCAACAATCTTTTTTAAATATATATACACACATATATACTCATATATATGTGTGTACATATATTTTTGGAGAGGAAGATTAGCCCTGAGCTAACATCTTTTGCCAATCCTCCTCTTTTTGCTGAGGCCCTGGGCTAACATCCATGTCCACGTTCCTCTACTTTATATGTGGGATGTCTACCACAGCATGGCTTGATATGTGGTGCCTAGATCCCTGCCCGGGGTTCCCATCTGCAAACCCCCGGCCACTGAAGTACAGTGCGCGAACTTAACCACCATGCCACCAGGCAAATCCCTTGCTCAACAATTTTTTGATGAATGAATATAAAGAGTCAAGAGCACTTTAGTGATTTGTTGGTAACAGCTGCATTCTAGGGTAGAGTAGTCTATTGATTTCTTAGTCTGGTTGTCACAACTGGAATCCAAGCTTGAGAGGGCAATTCATTACTCACAATTAAGTTAAGCTGTCACTGAAATAGATGAGGTAGAACTGAAAGAAAGAAAATCAGAAGGATATGTCTATTGATATACTCTGCACTGTCCTGGAGCAGGGTGACTGTCAATGGATCATCATAGCTGATAAAATGCCAAGGTTTCTGGGGAATCTCTTTCCAAAGAATTTGCAAGTTGTCACATTGGGAAGAGGAATGTTCAGAGATTATCTCTCCCATATGCTAAAGTGGGCAGACTCCACCTAACTATCACTGGTCAGGGGTTCCCTGAGTTTCTGTTAACCAAACTCCAAATGGCAAGTTAGGATTTTTAATTCTGGGGCTGCAGAAGAAATATTACAAAACAATGGTGTGGCCTACCTTATGCACCTGAAACACTCCATTCACAAAGGTTCCTGGAGCTTGCGAGTACAGATGAATGATTTTAGGAGTTGCAGTAGCATTTATAATAAGTCTCTTTGAAACCTCCATCTTTCGGTCAGCATTAACATCAGACACAGATGAGGTATTGTAGACCTCCAGGAACCCATTGCGGCCAATATAATCTGATATGGCAATGACTTTCTTTGGGATGAATTTCTCCTTCAAGCTGACATCAAACACCTTCACTTGGAAGAATTCGCTCTCAGTAGCCACTGTGGCGTGAAACATCTTTCTCTCCCCTTCGCTGACGGCATATGCAAATGGTTCTGTGGCTTTCAGTACCATCACTTCTTTGGGGCCCCTCTGGAAATCCTCTTCTTTGGAAGCTTCTTTAGGTACAGCCTTCAGTCTTGGTTTCTGCTTAAAAGTACACACCAATACCAGGAAAAATTTAGAAAAGGTATACAGAGAAACTCTCTAGTGAGAACCTTCTCAGGCTTGATGTTGAGACTCAAGGAACACCATAATTGGGTGAACTTGGAAAAAAAGTAGACAAATATGGCAGACGACATAACTTAGTTAATAGAAGAAATGGAGAAGATTTAAACAGCAATATTATTTCTTTTCTTCATTTTGTATAAGTTTGCAAGGAAGAATATTTTTCTTTAAAAAGAATTCACCCAAGAAAAAAGTATTTCTCCTAGGAAGAGCTATGTACAGTATAGGGGTGGTGGGTAATAGCAATGCCATTGTGTAGTGAATCCTAATAGAGATGCAGATGAAAAAACAATCTTAATTTATCCCATCAACTCATTTTAGTGAGCAAAGTAAGATATAAATCGGGAAGAAAATAAGTCATCTTTAGTATCACTGAGAGTGAAGAATGGCTCCCTCTAGTCAAAACCATTGATTTCATCTGAAATTAATCCCAGTCAAGGTGGCAATCAAAAGATCCAAATCTCAAAGCCCCTTTCCAAAAAAACAGTGCTGTGTTGGGAAGGTGATAGTAAGACACTCACTGGAAGTATCCCATGACCTTCCTTAATTTGGAAATGTCCTGGATAGAGGCTCTTAGGTATAGAAAAATACGTGTATGTGATCCAACCTGGGACAAAATGATATTCTTTGTATATAAATAACAAAATGTAAAATCAGAAAGACTTTTTACCAAAATGTAGCATTTGATAGAGGAGAGATTTCAAAAAGTTAGAATTTAATTATTTTTGTCTATGCATGTACACATCCTAAATTTTCTAAGATGATATTATTTATGAAACAAAAAACGAAAGAGAGGTGCTGGCCAATGGCCTAGTGGATAAGTCCGGCGTGCTGTGCTTCGGCAGCCCAGGTTCGGTTCCCAGGCGTGGACCTACACCACTTGTCGTTGGCCAAGCTGAGGTGGCTCACATACCAAATAGAGGAAGATTGGCACAGATGTTAGCTCAGGGTGAATCTTCCTCAGCAAAAAAATATGAAAGGGAAAGATTTGGTGATAGTGCTTTGGTTGGCTCTGTATTTCTCCACCCTATTTGACCCTATGCTGTGTCTTTCACTGTGTATTGAGGGAAATACAAAAATAAAGTTAAATGAACAAAGGACTAATTATACCCAGTGGAGACTAAGGATGATTAGGTTCCCACTGGGTCATAGATTATCCTAATGTACAAGATGGTGCCTAATAAGAGTTGGAGTTCACATTTAGGGTACAATCTCATCTCAAAATATACATTTAACAAAAAATGTGTGATTTAATTAAAGAAAGAATTGTATATAGTAGGGGACTAGTGAGAAGCTCCTTCATGGTTCTACTGATCCCTGTCATTATATTGCAGGGAGCGGAGATATTGGAACCTTGGTTAAGGAACTGCTGGATGGGGTTGGTGGTGGCATCTGAGGAGTTTGGAGACAGCCCTCAGTTGGGCATGGGCTGGTTATTGAGGATTCTGGAAGCTGATTCTGCTCTTGGAATAGTTTCATCCTCTTGGATTCCTCAGTTTTATTGGTGATGTCTTTCCTTTTCTGAAGCAAAATATATATATTTTTTTCCTGGTTAATTATTTTCAATATCAAATGAACCACAACATTCTCCTACTCATGGTCTCTTTCTGTCTCTCAGTCTGTCTGTCTGTCTGTCTGTCTCTCACACACACGCACGCACACACAAACACACAGACATAGGAGAGGATCTTCACTCCTACAATTTTCTCTGGAATAATAGCACATCTTCAGATACCCCCAACATCATCCCAGCTTGGAACCCAGTCAGGATTACTAACTTCACTCTGCAAATGTTAAAACCTCAGGTGATTGAACTTTCATTGCTCTGTTATGGAATTCTGGCTTTACCTCTACTGCAAACAGCCCTATGTCAACTTCATCAAGATAACACTTGGAGTTATTTATTGGTATAAAATTCTACCAAACTTATAATGGAAGCAAGTCTCAGAACGACATCAGCTGCACCTACGGATGTTTTATTAACTAAGTCTTTTACTACCTTGTATATTTACCAAATAACCAAATCAGTTTCTATCATCTGCTCTCCAGGTCTAGGGAACCAAGTCTCCACATGACTGAATGCTTTGTTTATCACCGTACTGGAGAAATTCCCTTAAATTCATATTTCTAAAGGTGGGATTCTGCTCTCTATGTAGTCTGCATCAGGCAACCAAATCCTTCTGAGTTCTCAACCAGAAACAGACCCATTCAAGATTTCACCCAGGCATCCCTAATACCTGGATTTTTATAATTGTTTAAGCAAGAGCCATAAGTGTCTCTAAAATGATTTATCTTGACTACCTTTGATTTCACTAAGGAAAGCCCATTTCTAACTTTCTATATCCAATATAAATTTGTCACAGTTCTTACCTCTTTTAGCATTCACTTATCTAATTCATAAAGTGTCACTTGTTGATAAAGCTGTAGATGAGGGAGCTGCCTGAAATACCTCCCTCTGGCATGCAGCTTCCTGATTAGGACACTCTCTGACCACCCTGGCACCTCATTCGTCTTTAGTTGGCTTACAGAGCCTGGGCTATGGAAATCAACCTGAGACATAACACTGTCTAATTATAAATTTTTAAAAATAATTTCCAGATACTAGAACATCTGTACTGTGACTCTGGAATCAATATATGCCACTAAATGCTCAAATTGTAGAGTTCAAAGGCTGGATTTGAACCCTGGCTCTACAATTCACTATCTGTGTGATCTTGGAGAACATTTTTAACCTCTGTGAACTTCAATTTTCTCATTTGGTTGGACTAACAACAGCACCCTCATGTGGTATTATAAGGAATAAATGACATAATGTACACAAAGATCACAGGTTTCAGAGTCCAATACCGCTAAATGCTCACTACATAGAAGTATCAAGATTGTTATTATTATTTCATTGTCAGCACAGGGGTTTGTATTTGTGTTCTGATCCATAGATGTTCAAGGGGCCAGAATTTGTTACCTCAACACGTGTCTCTTTGGCTTGGTTATTTTGAGGAACAAAGACTGAGGATAAACTTTGTCCTTCCCCCTAACTGCCTAAAAGAATTTAAGATAGAATGCCTGTTTCAGAAGGAGCTAATACTATAGATGATTATAACAGTAGTGGAGAGGAACCTAGCCAGGCCCATTTGATCAAAGTCCTTTCCCTGTCTCATTGTCTTTGCAAGGCATGGCAAACATTTGTTAACCAAACCTTTGTCTTTCCATCTTCATGTGTTTGCCTTCCTCCTCTTTGAAGTCCCAAACCACTACCACTGACATCCTCTTTTGTCTTTAGCTGAAGATGGTATTTAAGGTGGTGGATTTGGCCATTTTGGTGAGTCACTCAGTTTTCCTGGGTTTATCCCATGCATACATGTTATTAAAGTTGCTTGATTTTCCCCTGTTATTCTGTCTCATGTCAATTTAATTCTTAGACCAACCAGAAGAGCCTAGAAGGGTAGAGGAATATTTCTTCCTCCCCTAGAGATGTTTTATGTATTATGTTCACCCTCTTAATGGAAATCCTAGACAGAGGTGATATGGGAAGCACTTTATTAAAGAAGCTTCTCTATTCACTTCTGCCACATGTGTTAATTTAATCTCATTGACTAAAGCATCTTGAGCATCTTTCAAAGTTAGTTAAACCAAAATCTTCCATCATAAAAGTAGGATTTAGATGCCTGAAATATACTATTTGGTTGGATAATTCTTAAAAATGGTAATTGAATTTTTTCCTTCTGATTATTTCCTTCACCACTGCATCCTGTCCTTGAATCAAGCCATTCTGTGCTATTTGCTTTGGGGGAAACAAGCAGGAGGAATCAAAGATAATATTAGTCTGCTCCTGGTTTTGAATCCCAAAAGCAAACAGAGAGCATATTATAGAGAAAATAGTTGGGAGACTCCATGATGAAGCAGAGCAAGGCTTTCCTGCTCATTTAGTGCATTATGGAGTGGTCAGACACCCTTTTTGCAGGCTTCCTATGGAGGTGGCTGAACCAGAAAGAAGAAATAACTATATTGTCTGTTTAGGTGTATGAGGCTGAGGACACAGGTGAGCCTCCCTGAGATTCCTATGCTTGAAGGAGGTTTCAAGGAAGTGTAATGATTTTTCTGGGAGTGGAAATGATTATGTCACATATTTATGCAGATGGGGCCTTAAAGTATCACTTCCAAGCCTATAGGTACAGAAAGAAATAGAGTTGTCTTGAGATGTCCATGTATGTCATTGTCACGGCAGATAGACAGTGGGCCTGAAGTTTCAATGACTAGATAATGGCCACCTGGGCCTAGAGGCAACAGACACAGATTGCTAGTTCTATCCCCCCCAAAAAAACTGGAGAGACTATGTAGGGAATTATGAATTATTGACGTGAACAATAATAATAACAGTAACAAAACAAAACTTGAGAAATCTTGCCTACAGGAAGTCTGTCTTCAACTGTCATCTGTGGGACAATGTTGGGGACTTTCAGCCTGGGTCAGAGAGTAGCTCTTGGCTTGGGTGCCAAACTATATTAGAGAATAATGATTTAAATGCTGCTTTTGCCTATACCTCAAGTTGCCTGCCTATTCACTGCAGAAATAGGCATTGTACTCTTGTGTGCAAGTAACCACAGGGGTGATACCAGACAAAGCAAAAGGCAGGCTAGGAAAGGAGTTGATGCATGGAAGTGTGCACTCACACTTCCACCCCAGGGAAAGGGTACCTATAATCTGAGGTTATTGTCTAGTAAGGAAGAAAAAGGTACACTTCTTACAGTGGTGATAAATGCTAAAATGGAAAAATAAAGGGACAGTGAAAGCAAACAATGGGAATATCTAACATCTTCTGCGAGGTGGGCATTAATGTGGACTTGCCTGAGGAAGAGATTCAGGTTTGCACCTGAAGGTTGAAGACACTTGAACCGGTAGTCAACCAGGACGAATGATACCAAACAAAAAAAAAAAAGGATCATATGTCACAACATCTGACATGGATTGGAGCAGGAAACTTTGAAAATAAATCCTGTAGTATGGTCAGTGAACAAAGGGGAAGAGGAAGAAAGGAAACCGGACTGTACGGGATGAACACAGTCACATTCATCGCTACTTGACTGGTCACCTTCCCCTCTCTCTCTACTCAACCCAAAAGAGTAGCCCTTTTAACATCAAAGATTATTTCATAAACATGTGCCTTGTAAATAGCAAAGTAATTAGAATCTAGTAGGATCTCAAATTATACACTGATAAATGGATGAGTAATTACATTTAATAATTGAATTATATATTGTGGGAGGTTAGATAGGAACCTCTTCCAAGATTATGATAATCCTTGTAATTACATTGTGTGGAAGTACAAGGTATGGGAACAGGAAGAGGGTACTTGGTGAGGAACTGCTGGATGGGGCCTGTAGAGGCATCTGAGGAGTTTGGGGACAGCTCTCAGTTGGGCATGAACTTGTTTCTGAGGTTTCTGGAAGCCCAATCTGTTCTGGGATAGCATGTTCATTTTTGAGTTATTAGTTTTGGTGGTTACGTCATTCCTTTGCTGGAGAAAATTAGATTTTTTTCGTTATTTCTGGATAATAATTTTCAAAATCACACAGAACACAGCATGTTATTCTTTTCTTTCTTTCGTTTTTAAACAGGATCTTAACTTATCAATTTTCTCTGGAATAATAGCACATGTTCAGATACCTGTACTACCTGCTATCTCCCACCTCAACCAGGATTAAAGATTTCACTCTGCAAATATTAAAAGCTCAGATGAAATTTCATTGGTTTAGGATGGAATTCAGATTCTACATATGCGGTACACTGGCCTAAGCCAACATGGTCACACATAACTCTAAGGGTTGTTGTTTTGGTAAGTAACCTTCCCAGGTTATAAGGGATGCAAATCTCAGTACAACGTTGACTGCACTTATGGATGGTTATTAGCTATGACTTTCTCTTCAAGCAAATATACAAATAGGTTCTTGACATCGGCTCTTCAGGCTCCTAGAAACCCATCTCTCTGATCTTTTGGGAGAGATTATCAACAGAAATGTGGATTCTTGGAACTAACAACAAGAAAACAAAACCAAAAATTGAAAGTGCCTTTATAAAAGAAGTCTTTCTTCAAGTGGTATGTGTGGGGTGGTGGTGAGGATGTACCCTGAATGAGAGGGCAGCAGGGATCTTGGGTCAGAAACTATATTAGATAACAGTGATTTAAATTCTGCTCTTGCCTACCCTTTATGTTGTCTTGGGGCAATCCTTTCCTGCCCATTCACCTCAGATACAGGCTTCATTGTCCCAAGGTTGCATGCAACCACAGGGCAAAACAAAAGGCAGGTTGGGATAGGATTTGGTGCATGAGATATGTACTCAATTTCCCACCCCTGTCTTGTCTTCCCCTGGGAAAATGTACCTATAATCCGAGCTTATCGTCTAGTAGAGAAGAAAGATGAGGATTTATTACAGTTTTGATAAGTACTACAAAGGAATAGTAAAGGGCCATGTGAAGTCAAGACCTCTTTTTAGGAATGTGAGTATCAGTGAGGACTTGCCTGAGGAAGGGATTCAGGATGGAACCTGAGGTTGAAAATATTTAGGCCAGTGAAGAGACAGGAATAATGAATTCCAAATCATGGAAACAGCATATGCCAAAACTCCTGACATGCGAAGCAACATAGAATACTGAAAATTAATCTGGAGGTATGGGTAAGGAGAAAGAGTGAAAGCAAATTAGAATGTAGGGGATAAACATACTCTATTTTTCATCTATAATTGTCTGGCCACCCTCCATTCCCTCTTTCTGGACCAACACAAGGCAGTAACCCTCTTGAGATCAAGAATTATTTCATAAACACACACCTTGCAGAAGCAATGGACTTATAATACACTGAGATATCGATAACTATATTGATATATCAACGACTCATTTTACAATGTAAAGAAATCGTATCTAGTGAGGGATTACTGAGAAGCTCTTTCAAGGTCATGATGATCTCTGTAATATGTTGTAGGGAGGGACAAATATTGGGAATGGGAAGATCGTACCTTGGTTGATGAACTGCTGGATGGGGCTGGTGGAGGCATCTGAGGAGTCTGGGGAAGGCTCTCAGCTGACTGTGTGCTGGTTACCGAAGGTTCTGAAAGCTGACTCTATTCCTGGGGTAGCTGCAACTTAGATTCATCAGTTTTTGTGGTTTTGTTTTTCTGAAAACATTTTATTTTTTCCTTCTTAATGGTTTTCAATATTAGATGAAACACATATTTACCGCTAAACATATCAGCTTTTCACTACTACATTCTAATAGACTACAATTTATGTCTTTGAGAACTCCAGGGAGCTACATACAGTCCATCTTCTGAAGAAGTAGCCAGAAGGTAAGCAGTGCACATATATGATTGCTTCATGCAAAGGGTGGAGAAAATTTTATACCTGTCACTCCTTTACTCACCTCTGTGGTGATGACAGGAGCAGCGAACTTAGATTTAGAGATATAAGTTTGAATTTAGTCTCTCAGTCACCTTTGGCAAGCTGTTTCCCTAATCTGATTGCCATTTTAGTTCATATCTAAAAGAGGGGTCATGATTTCATATTTCGTCATAGGGAATTATATTGCATAACGTAAAGTGCATAGTAGTTCTGAAACATAATGGGTGACCAGTAGCTATTAATTTACTGACTCTGAACCTCATTTTCATTCTGCCCCTGGAATCCCTTTTTCTCTGATTCTTCTACTTGCATATTGAGAAAGGAATAAAGAACTAAGTGTTCATAGGAAGGTAATAAATGGAAGAGCCATAGAAGAAATCTCTTCAGTGGGACCTTGGTCATCCTACCTTCAAGATAGGCATATCGTTGATTAATTCAGGTCCAAAACCTTTGTTTGTGGTGGAAGTAGATTCATCACTACTGAGTTTATCCTTCTTGCTCTGTTTCACTGGAGTTGTTCCTCTTGCTTTCCATCTTCTTATAACTGATGCAGTAAAAGAGAGAAAAATAAATCCAAAGGAGCTGGTCTGAGACAGCTGAAGCCCTTTCATTACTATTTCCTCTCAGTTCCTGCTTGTGGGTCTAGGTATGCTTGTGTCTGCCTCTACTGCATTAGCCAGGCTGGGCACAGGTGGCCAGCAGAGGTAACACAGGTGCAAAGACTGTCTCAATGCTTCCTCAGTGGTTTGCTTTCTCATCTCATGTGCATTGAGCATATCCTTCCTGTCCTCTGGACTCCTATGTACCTGAGTCAAACTCTTTTCCAACCACTTATCCTATACTTTACTTTTAAGAATCTAAAGGTTTCATGTTGCTGATAGTGAGTCATCTTCTGTAAAAGATCTGTTTGAATTAGTGAAATGAGAGAAAGGAAATATGATGTAATTAGTGAGGTGACAAAGTGGTGATGCTGGACTTGGACATTTTAAAGTACGTTTTTATAATCCAGTGGTTTTATAAGAGACAAGTTCTTCACATCTCTGAGAAGTAGGTTTTATTTTAGTACTACCTGATTTTTGTTACTAATAATGGTGGAGTAAATATTTTAATAGAACATGTATTTTAATTGATGTAAATATTTTAAAACTCACATTTTTTAAAATTTTGTTTTGTCATTTTCTAACCTTTCTAACATACTGAAAGGCTGACTTTCTCCTCAACTCCTGCTTTATTACTTTACCCTCACCCCCAAAATATACCCTCTGAAATACATTAAACCTCTTTGTAGGAAAGGGGATGCCCTAAGTTGTCAACTTGGCCTCTGCTCGACTAACATTGCCATGGCTACTGAGTCCTAAATTGGGAATGGGATGTGTCAACTATGACAAGTCCAGGTTCTAGTCAACATCGAGGATGGTGCAGAGAGAGTGAGAGTGAAGGATTCTCACTCATTACCTTTTAACTTCTCATTTTTAAGAGTTTTGGCACGATCTTTAAGTTCTTCTATGTCTTTGTACAGTTTTATTAGTTTGTCAACACTGGCAGCCCCTGGGAACTTTTCTGCCATCAAATCAGCAATCTGAATTTTATTATGTTCATTTTGAGTTTTTCTAGTCAGTTTTAAATCACTGGCCAATAAAGACTTAACCATGCTGAAATGATAATCACTGATGGGCTCCAATCCTTTAAGCAGAACAATTTTCTTGCATTCAGTCTCCATCTCTCAAGTTACAGATAACCTACAAGAGAAATATAACACACAGTGTTGCACATTTATACAGACAATTTAAAAGACTGTCAATGTCTATGTGAGTGAGTGGTCCATGTGAAGGTGTTGTCCATGGGTGTATGTGACAAAGAAGGACTTAATTACCAGATGTCATTGTGGAAAATGGGTTGAGCACTGCTGAATTTGGAACTTCTAAGAAATTCTTCCCTTTTTATGATGACAATTGAGTTGGGTTGGAGGTGGGTCTGATAGAAGAAGGTTTGGATATAGGCAATTGTGTAGAGTACTGACTGTGTAGTGTCAAAGTTCCTGGTTCCTCCTCTCATCATTTTTTGGGGGTACAATCTATCTGCGCATGTCTGCCTCTTGGTTCCTGACTCTTCCTACACCCACTATGACTGAAGTGATCTATGTGTCAAATGGAAAATGGGCTGCAGCCTTTCACTTTATGTGAATACCCTTCTGCCACAGCATTACAATACCATGCTGGGTACCTGCCCTAGTCCACTTGGCTTCCCCTTAGTCACCTCTAATTAACATCATCCCTCCCTGGGGCTTGGACCATGTTCTTTGTGTCCTAAGTGCTCATATCACTGTCTCTTTCTGGGACTTCTACCTGATCCCTAGTGCATGATCATAGTATTTATTGACTGGAATTATTTCTATAATTGCTTGATTTTTCTCCTTCCAGCTTAATTTTTTTAATAAGTTCTTTGCATAGAGCTAGATATCTCTCTACAAATCCACAATTCTATCTCACTTCAAATCCTTCAATAATTCCCCATTTTCTTTTTGAAAAATGTCTTGCTCCTTAGCCTGGCTTGGAAGGCCTTGAATAATCTGCGTCTTTGTTCCTTTAGCTGCTTTTGTATTTCTTATGTCTTATGCTCCAGAAATATACAACACACCTTGCCTTTTCATGTTTCATGACTTTGCTAATTCCCTTCTTGCTACCTAGAATTCTTTCCCACCTTTCTTCCTCTGACTACCTTCTTACAGCCTTCCATACTCAACTGAGGCTTTGCCTTCAGAAAGCTTCCTGAGTTCCCATTTCGAACTGAGTTTCACTCCTCTGGGCCCCTTAGCACATTCTGCACTTCCTTGATGGCACTGAGTGCCAGTTATGGATCCCAATTTTCAGTTTAAATTCATGTTTCTTTTAGTTTAGAGACCAGGTGTTGTGTACTTTTTGTATAATTGGGATGTTCAAATTCCTGGGGCTGTGAATTGTTCCTCATGTTCTTGAGAGAACATGAGTGTCCTTGGGTTGGTCAGGCCCATAGAGTGAAGGATGAATCCACACAAAGACACATTCTAGTGAGAATATTAAAAACAAAGTGAAAACTCTGAAAGCTTCCAGAAATAAAGAGCAGGTGAACTATAAAGATTCAAGGATCAAATTGAAACTAATCTCAACAGCAGATCTGCCTACAGAGGGACGGTGGAGTAAGTTTTCTATAATACTGGTCCAAAATTCCATATCTATTTCAAAAATGAATTTTTTTTTTTTTTGTGAGGAAGATCAGCCCTGAGCTAACATCCATGCCAATCGTCCTCTTTTTGCTGAGGAAGACCGGCCCTGAGCTAACATCTATTGCCAATCCTCCTCCTTTATTTTCTCTTTTTCTCCCCAAAGCCCCAGTAGATAGTTGTATGTCGTAGTTGCACATCCTACTAGTTGCTGTGCGTGGGATGCCTCCTCAGCAAGGCCAGACAAGTGGTATGTCGGTGCGTGCCCGGATCTGAACCCGGGCCACTAGGAGCGGAACAGCGCACTTAACCGCTAAACCATGGGGCCGGCCAGAAATTTTTTTAAATAAAATTTTTATGGTTTTTTTGGGGGAGTGCAACAACACAATTTATTTGCAAAATAAAACCAGATGTGAGTTAGTAGGAGGCTATGCATAATCTTCATTCATTCCTCTTAAATTTGAATATTCATGTGTTTTTTACCAAAATTTTAGTGCATTTGATTTTAGAGTAATGATCCAGATCCTACCAGGGCTTCTAGTAATATAGTATTTTAAGTAGATGTATTAAAGCCTTTCTGGAGCCTCCAGATTCTGAGTTTCAAAACATATCTAGCCCAAGGCTGTCAGAAGAGGTACTGTCACTCTATCTTGAGGGAAAAACTAATTTTGAAAGTAGAATTTTTAATCTAGCCAAAATGTTATGAGGCACATGAGAGCCTCAAATACTATTCCCTGATATTCCAGGCCTCATTAATTTTGCAAGACAAAGACCCATACAGAAACATCTACTGGAAGTAATGTTCAATAAGAAAATAATACAAAGTCAAGAAATACTGCAAGCCAAAAGTAAGAGTGAAAATTGAATTTGATTAGGTGACCCCATGTCTTAAAAACAAACAAATCCTGATTGAAGAGAAGAGAACCAGGAAGTACATCAACATGGCGAAGGGAGGCAAGAAAAAGAAAATGACAGTTCACCAATGCATTTGTCTTAAAGGGTACGATAGAGTATAAGTAAACAGATATATGAGAAAGGAGAATATGGAAGTGTCATAAATTGGAATGAAGATAGCCGAAACAAAACACACAATAATCAGCATATACATAAAGGACCTAACCAGTTAAGCAACAACTTCAGCCAAACTGTATTTAAGAAATCTGCAAATATATTGTAAACAAAAGATCACTTAAAAGTGGAAATACAAAAGAAAAATATTTTATCATACAAAAAGTAAGTGAAAGAAAATCACTATATTATATTAGTTCAGCTTTAAATAGACCTGAAGACAAAAAGTATCAGAGCACAATACAATGATAGTAGGGTCAACTCTAAGGGAGATAAAACAGTTTTGATTGTGTATTTACCTACAAATAGTAAATATATATTATTTTTATTTCTTGATATTCTTTCATAATACTATAAATATTAAATATTATATTTTATAACATAATTTGTTATAATACAAAATTATTTTTGTAGCATTAGGTAGTATATTTTTCTTCATATACACACCCATACACACTTATGGGATTATATATATTATATATATATCTACATATCTATACATAAACACTTTTATATAAAATATACATTATATATGTGTATGTATATAAATAAGTATATCGACAGATTACTTAAATTCCATTTGGCTGAAGTTTTTGCTTCACCAGTTAGGCCCTTTACATATATGTGATTAATTAATGTTTTGTCTTGTTTCTCCCATTTTCAGTTCAATTTATGACACTTCTATATTCTCCTTATGTACATATAAATTTGAGAGATCTCCGAGGAAAAAACCTCACAACTTTACGGTAGGAAGTTTCACTGTAACTCTCAACTACTAAATGAATGAGATAAAAAAAAGCAGTGAAGATTTGGAAAATTTAACCAACACAATTAATAGGCTTAACAAACAAAGTTTATCTAACACATGTAAAATTCTGAACATGAAACATTTCACATTCTAGTCAAGCACATATGAAATATGATTGTACCAGGCCATACAGAAAGTCTTTGAAAAATTTTGAAAGTAGGCAACAGACATCCATTTGTAATTAACTCTCCCTGTTTCTCCCCTATACCTTGCCACCAGAAAAAAAAAAAAATCAATAATTTTCAAGAAGGCAGAAAGTCATCCTAAAAGAAACTTAAATAGTGACTCTGACAGGTAGTGTAGAATGTAGTAGAAAATAAAAATTAAACTGTCTTACAGAGAGGTAAAGAAGCCATATTTTTGTTTAACCGTGTTTGTGAAACTGAAATTTTTTTTGTTCTCTGTGTGTGTGTGTGTGTGTGTAAAAGTAGGATAACACCATACAATACAACCTTATATACAGATATATTTTTTGTTTAATATTATTTTATGATACTTGTGTCATTCCCCTATCATGACTTTTACCCAGGCCCCCACCACAGCAACCAAATTTCTTGTACATCTTCCATGAGAAAAAGCCCAAACCCTCTCTCTAAATATAATTCACGCCAATAAATGCCTGGGGAATATGTTTAAATATCTTCTATAGTCAAAATGCATTTCCCTCAGTTGTGGTGGAATAAAAATGTCTATTATTTGCCTAGTTAGTAAAGGACAAGAATCAAGCTACTGCTGTTTTCACTTTTCTGAATATAGTTGAAATCAGCACTTTCTCCGTAAATTCTTCATAACTCAAGCTCCCCTTCTCATCTTTTGGTTACCAATCCGGTACCCACAGCTCCCTATGGAAATCCCCACAGGTCTCACCTCACTGGAAATTTCTCCCAATGTAGTCCAGATCTTAACTTCTTTTTCCAAGATGCAGAAATCACTTCTTGTTTTGTTTGAGTAGGAAGACAAATCAGTCAACTCTCAGAGACTGAACTGCAGGATGTTATATTCTCCTGAAAGGCAGAAGAAAAAGAAGTATTTTGAAAGGTAACAAGAACGAAAGGCACTGGTCAGAGTCAAGTGAAAACTTGACTAGCGCTGGCTCCCTCATCCTGTGCTATTCCCCAAGAGCCAGAAGTTATGAAACAATTTTGAGACTCCTCCCATCAATGTTCTCAGCTTTCCATTTCATTAGTCAGAGAAAAGGAACAGTTCCATCTTGTAAATATTGTTGGGGCCCAGGGAGAACTACCCCCAAATATTCCACAATAGCATATTGATTATTTTGAATTAAAATCCCCTGAGAAGCAAAAAGGGCACTCTGACTCTCCTGTCTCTGTTCCCCTTGAAAGCAGGAAATGAATCTCCCACGTGGAAGATGATCTCCCTGCATCCTATCACCAGAGCTAGGGAAGTCAGAGCCGAGAAACCTGCGTAAGCAAACTTTGGTAATCTACTACCTCAAGTCCAAACTCTGCTTAAATTCCTCGCTAATTAAGTATCACAAATTTAAGTTTCTTTGTGCTGTCATTCCTTACAAATTTCTCGTTTCTTTCTGTAAAAGATTTATACACTGCCTGCTTTGTTATTTCCAATCATCATTGCTCTATAATCTCCAATAAATATGTATTAAAGTGGTATTTTCTCCTGTTAATCTGGTCTTGTGTCAATTTTATTATTAGTCCAGCCATAAGAACACAAAAATGGTAGAAATGGGGTTTTTCCCCCACCCTGACAATACCTTAATCAAAATGAAAAATTATAGCAAAGTTATACTTCAAGTTTTGTTGTGTTTGTTA